TTACTGTAACTAAAGCTATGACATTGACAGCAGCCATTGGTGACCACCCACATGGCAAAAATGCAATCACTGAGATGATGCTGAAATCCGGAAACCATAAAACAGGTTTCATTGAAGAGCAATAACCCGAGAAAGCATAACAGCACCAAGCAAAAGGCAACAGCACAGAAATGGGGTTTGCAAGTCTTCCTGCCCTACTCAGCCATTCGCACACAGGACCTGCTAGCTAGTCCTAAGCTGCTTAGATGCTGCTTGCTTTGCGAAGACAGCAAAGCCAGCGCCTCCTGAGTCTGGAAGATAGGCCACAAATGTTAACGCTCACTGGGCAATATGAAGGGCTTTATGAGTGAATACATGCTAACTTCCCTGAATGTAATCAATGGTGGGGCGGCAGGAGATGATCCCACACACCCTACACACTACAGAGGCAAATTTATCATGCATAACTAACATTAAAAGACAACAGACTTAGTTAAGCCTATTTATAAATTATTTTTCTTTTGAGGCAGCATGATTGTGGCACTTAAGCATGATACATGCTAATACATGAAATGCCAGTTTGGCTACGTGTACAGTTTAAAAATTTATAGGTTCTGGATTATTTAACATTTAATTTTCTGAAGATAAAGGAAAGGAATATGGACTTTCATACTCAAAAGTGCAACATAAAATGACAAAATTCTCTTTCATTGTTTTCAAATTCTAAAAAGTACATGAAACATTTCAGCCCTTTTTTAATCATCAGGGAAAGTTTCAGTATCGTTTTTCTACCCAAAGACGTGAGCTTTTCATCAGTGGACAATATTGCAAGAATTGGTTGCTTCCTGGATTGTCATGGCTCTCCTTGTACATTAGAAGCCATGATTCACTGTGTGAGAACTTGATGCTGGTCGGAGATTTCCTAAAGTGCATGACAGCTTCTCCTCCTACCATCCTAGTTCATGTGATAATTTGAATATAACTGGCTGTGTTTAGTTGTTGATCCATTGATGATGCATCTGCCCCAATGAAACACTTGAAAGAATGAACACCAAGCAGTTTTATTAATTAAAAACTTAATAGCTATAATGGGCAAAAAACCTGGAAAAACACAGAAAAGTACCAATTAGAAACAGTCCTGAATTAACTGGGATGTCCATGCTGCTCTCCCTAAGGATTGAAAACTATGTGGCCTGGACTCTGTTGCTCACAAATTTTCCCAATATCCTAGGCTGTATAATACTTTATGATAATTTATCTTGCTTGTTCTTCTTCTCTACTGTTGTTACTGTGAGATTTTGAAGATGGTTATGTACCTCTTTTTTATTAATTCCATTAGTCAACATATTCCTATCCACTGTGTACTGAAATGAAGCATTGTCTGGGAATTAGTAACAGGTGAAGTTCATATTGTTTGTGTAACTTGCTAAAGGCAAGATTCTGAAACTTCAGGGGATAGTCTGAAAATTCAGGAGGGGTGGTTGATTTCGCTTTCTACCTAGACAGCACAGCAGAGCTTCTGAGTAGATATCTACACTTAAAAACATTCGCAATAAATTACTATTATCATGCAAGCTGTTTGCGCATTTGTAACGATGGGCACTGGAAGAGTTGAAGGTTGATAGTTGGCTTGGAAAGTTTCATATGAAGACGTACATCATAGTTATGAGTTAGAAAACTATGAACCTTTAAAGTTATAATTAGAGTTTCTCTGAAGCTCGCAGAAATCATAAATGTGCACCATGTTAAAAAGAAAGATGATGGTTGTTTCACCCATATAGAGCCCTTACAGTAACTGTTTCCCCATCATCTGAAATATGGTTATGATATTGAAGGAGAAATATGGTCTTTGACTTCTAAATACTTATTCTATATTTGCAATGCACAATAACATTTTAGCTTTCAGAAAATCCACGAGAGTAAATGCAGCAGAAAGTCCATCAACAGAGGGTTGTATCTGGTGTCGCTTTCAAAACTTTGAGGTGGTATATAAGATGGAGCACACACATTAGCACACCCAACCCTCACACTAGCACACTTATGAGCATGCACACACACACACAAACACGCACACACACATTTGTGAGCTTTCCCAGGGCTGTCCCTGTTTTCTTCACTTATCCTCTGTGTTTTAGCTCAGATGTTGCTTGCTTAAGATGAAAGTTCCTGAAACTTTCTTATCAGTTTCATGGGCTTCCTTAAATTTCTAGCAGTTTCAAAGCACCCTGACTTTTCCTCATCCAGGGTTATTACATGTGTATTGTGTTATGTAGTTTAACACACTAGCAAGATGCCAGGCAGCAATCATGAGCGAGGAAATGGTGATTGTATGCTGTTCACTTGAACGTGTGGAAACCTGACAAGAATGAGTCCGAAAGTGATGGGACTTTACCAGAAAGGGATGCAGCATTGAATGGGACTGTTCAACCACCTTCTGTGGAAAGTGTGAAGTATACTAAGAATGGGCGGAGTCTCATGGTCCTGTGTAAAGACTGTTGCAGAAAGACAGAAGCATGAATTATCAGAAGCACCAATCCCTTAGACATCATGGGCATAGTGCCAGATCTCATGAAACTTTTAAGAACGCATGAAACATCTCAAATTTTCATTTCTTAATCATATAATAAAAGATGCATATAATACTCACAAGCATATATGAATCCCATAGGAGTATAAAATTTGATTTTAATATTACTGTTTGGAAGAAGAGACCCAGATAGATTAGAGTACTCATAAAGGTTGTCAGGCAGCCCTGGGTGTAATACCTGTGTGTAACAGGCACTGTTTTGATTCGACCCTAGAAGAGAAAAAGATGATATCAGCCTGGAAATGTCCCCCTCTCAAAGAGGACAGACTGGCAGAATGAGGAGCTTCTTCAGATTTAATTACCTATCCGTAGATTTCCTTGTCTCCTCTTGGCTCGCAGCAGGCTTGGGAGAGAATTCCTTCAGGAAGGAGTAAGGCTGGTTGGCGCAGAAGGGTGGCAGTTTGGAGCTATTAGCATCGATTTACATTTGGCTTGAACAGACATAGGAGAGGGCCATCACAAACATTCAGGTCAATATTTACTCATGCATTTTAGATAATGTTGGAAAACTTTCAAGTCAGAATTATGACTTGGTCTTCTCTAGAATTTTATGTTCTAGGAGGGGATAGGTGGTGTGTGTTCTCACAGCTCAGGCTCAGGCATTGAGCACGATGCCTGTAAGGAAACAGGAGAGTTAGGCTCTTGTAAAGTTGTGAAACTATTGCAGCTGGAATTCTGTCACAGAAAAAGCCATCCCAGCCAAAGAGAGACTATATGACAGATGCCATCCATCATATAGGCAGATTGATTTTTCTACAGAACAAAGCAGAGGTAACATTTCACACCATTAATTGTAACCTAAATTTTGTCACGTATCTCAGACTAGCCTTGAACTTGCTATGTAGCCAAGGATGACTGTGAACTTCAGAGACTTTCCAACTTTTAGCTCTGAGTTCTGGCACCACTGTTCCCATCTAGAGCTAGCATGGCAGACAGGCAACCTCAGACCTAACCGCAACCTACGTGAAAGTTAATTTTAAAGTACGTTTAAATTTTTCTAAATCAAGAAGTCTTTGCACACATTTGTAACTGTAAACAGTTATAACTACTTATCATTACAGCTTATATATTTATAAGTATCGGTTAATTCAGATTATATGCAAAGTTACAACGAGATAAGATTATAGAGTATCAATTATAGATTGACCACTGTCTTTGTTTACAGTCTGTCTGTTGTCTGTCTGTGTTTTATAGACTGTCTCCTGTCTGTCTGTTCTTTACAGACCATCCACTGTCTGTCTGGGTTTTACAGACCATTCTCTGTCTGTGTTTTATAGACTGTCTGCTGTCTGTCTGGGTTTTATAGACTGCCAGCTGTCTGTCCATGTTTTACAGACCGTCCGTTTTCTGTCTGTGTTTAATACACTGTCCGCTGCGTGTCTGGGTTTTACAGACAGTCTCCTGTCTGTCTGTTCTTTACAGACCATCCATTGTCTATCTGGGTATTATAGACTGTCCACCGTCTGTCTGGGTTTTACAGACTGTCCACCGTCTGTCTGGGTATTATAGACTATCCACCGTCTGTCTGGGTATTATAGTCTATCCACTGTCTGTCTGGGTATTATAGACTATCCACTGTCTGTCTGGGTATTATAGACTATCCACTGTCTGGCTGGGTTTTACAGACTGTCCACTGTCTGTCTGGGTTTTACAGACTGTCCACTATTTGTGTTTTACAGACTGTCTTCTGTCTGTCTGCATTTTAAAGATTGTCCTTGTACACAAAGGACCACATTAATACTTCTGAAGCTTCTAAAAGTTGGTCTTCTGACTGAATAGCTTGATAAGTACAAAAATAATGTTAGAATCTCTAAAAGGCACTTGGGATTTTATAGCATTGATATTCTCCTCTTCAAACTATGACAAAACTATGCCATCCTATGCCATTTTATGACATCTGAAAGGTGTCAAAATATAGTCAGCTAACTGGTAATTTCAGGAGTGCTCAAGATTTTCCCCCACAATACCAGTGAAGTAAACTCAGGGCACGTGTTCAGAACCAAGCCTCCTAGCTAGTTTAACGGCGGCTGAATGGTTCTTCCTTTCTTGAGAGTCCCTTCTAGGTCTGAGTTCAAAACCTTGGTATTAAAGAAGGAAAGAGTGAGTGGATGCTCTTACTGGAGTTAAAGATCTGTTTCCTTCAACCAGTTCAAACTGGCAGTTGGAATCAGTTCACCCTGCCATCGCCTCTTTTCCTAGCTAGACTGCAGGGATGACTGTCAGTGTATAAACATCTGTTGAATGGATCAATTGATCTTGACTCAATCTTGCTTTTTCTTCCCATCTCTCTATGTTGTTGCTGTTGTTTTCTGTTCCTTTCCCCTCACACTGTTTATGTCCTTGGCCTGATGAACTGATTGTGTTGACATGTCGCTCTCAGTGTCTTCCTCAGTGCTGGGCTCACATTCTTTCTCTTTTCCCCTTTCCTTGGCAGCCTCCCTTGCTGGAGTCCTCACACACACGTGGGCTCTCGGTGCACCAGGCTCGGCTAGCTGCGGTTGGCATCGATGGATCAGAGAAGCATGGCCTCCTCTCCAGGACCCATTCCTCCCCCGCAGCCTCTATGTTACCTCACTCAACAGCAGACTGTCCCCGCCAGCCTGCCTCTACCACTGGTAGGCATCCCTAAAGACCATTTAATAGGCAGGCGAAATGTGCAGTTCTTGTAGGATTAGCCGATTTAAATGCTCTGAATAACTCCGATAGCAGAATGCTCCATTTTTAACTCCATGCAACCCAAATTTTATGAGGTTATGTTGGCCACAAGACAAACGGCACATCTGATAAATCTTGGGCTTAGTATTAATAGCCTCATAAATTGTTATCATTCAAGGGCCTGGAAAATTCATCAACAGGTGCATGGATCCCCCTGGAAATGAGACTCCCTCCACATTCTTCAGCAGTGTTCTGCAGACGCTTACCTTCCCCGAGGTTGGCCGCAGGGAAATTTACGATGCTTGGCGTCCTCATTTGGCTCTGAAGAGTATCTTCTCCTCATTGGTTTCTTGTTGTTTCACTTCAGTTTTGTTTTCTTTTTCTTGACTTCCCACACAAATGCCTCATGGGAGTCAAGGGTACCAAGGCAAGCCTTGCTTGAACCTGTTCATTCATTATGGTACCTCTGGGTGGGCTTCGTGACCAACATCTTCATTGCCTTCCACCGTGTTTGATATTTAAGAGCCTGAGTACAGACAAAACAAGCATATAATTGTAAGTCCAGAACAAGGGCGGGTCTGAGACACATGCCAAAAATGGGGCATGTTCCATACATTTGCTCTCCCACTGTGGCTGAGCAAAGAAAAGAAACTAATGCTCCATGAGAGTTATGGCGTGGCTATAGCAAGGGAGAGTTTATACATATGTCTGTCAGACTTACTCTGAAATTGGTATTCAGGATCCAGGGTTGGTGTTGTGGCATCTACGACCTCCTGCAGACTTCTGAGCTTGGACATGCTAAAATGCCTTTTCTAAAATCGTGTTCCCAACCCTTCATGTGATTTATCATTTTTTTACTTTAGAAATCAGTTAATGGATTGACCAGGTTAGTTAGCTGGCGATGGATATCTTTCAGGAGTGTACATAGGAGATAATTTGATAAGCTATTATGCCAAAAGGAAGCAACACCCATATTACGTGTTATAATTTAGGCAAATTTTCTCTTCCACGTCAGCAGCCTCTGCCCAGATTTCCTAGTTCCTGCAGCCCGGGGAAATTTTCCTAGAGATCCCGCAAAGCCCACACCTGACAGCTGTCATTGTCCGTGGAAGCCTTTACATCACTCACACCTGTGCTAGTCCCAGGGTTAGAAAAATTTGCTCAAAACCAGGATGCAAAATATTTACAGTGATGCTTTTCCCCATATTTATTTGTTTAATTTTATGTGTATCAATGTTCTATGCCCCCCATGTGTGTGAGTGTTTGTGTATGGTGTGTGTGTGTTTATGTGTGTCTGTGTATATGATTATGTGTGTGTGTTTGTTTATGTGTATGTGTGTTTATGTGTGTATGGGTGTTTGTATATGAGTTGGTGTATGTGGTGTGTGTTTGTGTGTGTGTGCGTGTGTATATGTGTAAGTGTGTGTGTGTGTGTGTGTACCACATGCATGCCTGGTGCCTACAGAGACCAGAGGAGAGCATCAGATCCTCCTGTAAGCAGAGTTAGATAGTTATGATGAGCCATGTGGTTACTGGGAACCAAACCCAGGTACTCAGAAAGAGTAAGGGGGTTCTCTTATTAAACACACAGCCATCTCTCTAGCCCTGAAATCCTTCTGTTTCCCCCACTCTCAGCATCTCTTAGCTTCTTTGTGGTTCTTTGTACAGGACTGAGGCTTCCTGGGATTTCCCCAATCCCCGTGAGCATGTCTGTTTCTATTGTCTCTGTGTGGTTAGTGTGGAGGCAGTCATGTTGGTGAGAATATGGATGTAAACTCTGATGTTCCCAGGGGAGCCATCTCACAACAAAGCCCTCGTTTCTCTGATCTTACCATCTTTCTGGCCCCTCTCCTGCGATCTTCCCTAAGTCTTAGAAGAGCAAGCAGTGCTCTTAACCACTGAGCTATCACAACTAAGTGGACCCAGTCACAAAATCCAAGAGCAGTCATAGCTGGTGACCTGTGGAGGGCGAAGGACAAGCTGACTGTGGTACAAACAAGGAGGATGTGAGGTCCTGTCACTGCTGGGGTGATGACGTGTGTCTGGTCAAGCCAGGCTGCCACAACCACCAATGACATTTGTGTCATGTTTGAAAATGGGCAGTAGTATTGGAATCATACGAGTTCTTCCCCTTTACTCAAAGACTGGGATTGGTGTTTCTTATTTGAGGCTCAGATAACTTGGGAAAAGGGAAATAAGTTCATTTTCTCTGCTAACATCATGTCTTCTGCTCACCTAGAAATTAGACTCAGCCGTGGCTCACAGAGTTTGTCCACTACAGGATAATAGCTGTGAATTTACACTGAATGTATTTCTTGCAATGGAAAATTCATAACGTATTGGATTGGTCTCTCTCCCATGCTGCTTGTAAACCCAACAGCCTCTTCCTTTTGTCCAGAGGTTACGGGACCTAGTCCATGCTAATAAATTATTTCTTTACACCACTACCATTATACTTAGAGGTGAATTTGAAATAGAATCATGGTGCTGAAACTCAGCTGATATTTGTAGTAGTCTTGAAAATAATTAGACTATTAAATCAATGCCTATTGAAAAGTACAAACTGTGGAAAGCAAGTATACGCAAGCATGCCAGTATGGGAACTGCTAAGTTCCCCCTTCTCTCTGCCTGCTTCCATTTTGGTTTTACATGCATGAAAGCCGTGTCTTGGTCAGCTGACTCCAGTATATCCCTACAGTTTCAAAGGTCTTTAGGGGGTACTATGTCATTCAAGAAAACCTTCTTTTCCCACTAAGCCCAAAAGACTTAGTGTAGTCCCTTGTAATACACTGGATTGTTTTCTGTCAAAATCTCTAAATACTGTTGATTTGGGGACTGTGGGCCAGGGAGAATATATGAGGAACGGGGCAGTTTTTCCGTTCTTGCTAACTCTAGCACTCAGGTATGTGATTGGAACACATCAAGTAAACACATGAGCCTTTGAGTACCTGGAGGAGACGTGAGTAAGTTGACGTGGGCTCTGTAGGAGTGTACAGACGCAGCCCTTAGGGCTGGAGATGTGGCTCAGGGGTTAAGAGCTGTGGGTGCACGTCCAGAGCAGCTGGCTTGGCTCCCTTGCCAGCAGGGAAGCTCACACTTGTCTGTAATTTCAGTTACAGGGGATCTAACGCTACCTTCTGGCCTCTGCAGTCTGCAGGAGGGATTTTGGTGTACAGACAAGCACCTGGGAAAAACACATACACATGTAAAATAAAAATAAATGAATATTTTTTAAAATGCCTTTGGTCATTGATACGCATTCACTGAAGACGACTTGGCGGTTGTCTGTGAAGAGAATCAGCTCAGATATGGTGGTACTTATTTCCAATATTTTCTTTCTTCTTAAATTTCTTCTTAACAAAACAAAAAATTATACACAAATCTTTTTAGAACAATGACTTTTGAATTTGACAATGCCAAAGCAGTTTTAAAATACTGTTTTTCAGTCTACAGTAGATCATGAACACTGAGTTGGGCAGTGTGACCAGCTTCCTGTGCAGTTTCTGTGACTTATTCTCATAGGCTGTCTCTCTGTAGCTCCTTCCCTCTCCCGCTCCCTCTCTGTTCTTTTCTCCCACCCTCTCCCTCCCCGCTCTCTCTTTGTGTGTGTGTTGGTTTTATCTTCTCACTCGTTCTTGAATATAGAAAAATCATCCCATTTTTCCAGTAAATATGTGCTACATTTGGCTTCTCCTTTTGCCAGCTTACATGCTGGTTAACGCTTTCTTGGCTCTGTAGTTGAATGTCAGCACTTAATTCAATTCATGCAATGTAACAGTTAGTTCAGAAGTCTGTGCTGGAAATTCTTCAGTCCATTTTTTCACCTGATCCTTTGATACTATCATTTTAAAAAACACAAATTATGAATCATAAAAAAAACATTCTCAACTAGTAAAAACATGCAATTTACCAAAATCTTCTGAAAGTTAGTTTTGGATGTTACATCATTTGCTCATTGACACATCACATTTCACAAATAATTAAATATAATTAAATATTAAATTTCACAAATAATTAAATATTACATGGCTGGAGAGACAGCTCCACAGCTAAGAGCACCTCTTACAGACGACCAGGTCTCGTTTCTCAACACCCAAATGGTGGCTCACAACCATCCACAGCTCCAGCTCCAGGAGGTTCAATGCTTTCTGACCTCTTGTGGATACCAAGCACACACGTGGTGCGCATACATGCATGCAGGCAAACACTCATACACATAAAGTAAAATCTAAAATTTTAAATTAAATAACTTGGTGCTTGATTTATGTGTTCCCAAGGAAAGATTTAGCAGATGTGAGGAGGAGCACACTCTGAAGAGTGTGTAGAAACGGGAAGGTCAAGGCAAATAGGTTTCTGGGTAGACTGGGGTTATGAACAGAAAGAATTACAACGGCAGTGCGCCTGCCTGCAGGTTGTCAGGAATGACACTTGTTTCAAAATAGAGTCTTTCTGAGTGCCCCGGAGATTGGTTCCAGACCCCTAAGGACGCAGGAGTCTCTGATATGCAATGGAGTGCATTTGCATACATGTGCAGTTTGTTACATCACCTCTAGATTACAGACAATTCCTAACGCAACCTAATAGATATGTAGATAGCTTGTCTGCTGATCACTTCAGAAATAAGAACAAGGTAAACATTGGACACTTCAGGTGAAAGACATCATTTTCCATAAAGCCTTCAATTCCTCCTGTACTGGATCGACGAAACGGCTCCCCAGGTCCTTTCTACCCAGTTTAGTAATCCTACCATCGTCTCATTTTGTCTTTTAAAAATGATTCAGCTGCTATTTTAAAGAGGTCTCTGACATCACAGCCTTTGCCATTACTATTACTCACCGTTTGAAATGCATTTCAAGTGGCTATTTCGTGTCTGTCTCATTTTCATGGCGAGATCATGAGTTAAACATGATAAGATGGATGTGGTACACACTGGAAAGTTACATACAATCACATGTTTCTGAGCAGAGATGCGGTGTGGTGCCCTGAACTATGCTAGCTCTTGGCCCTGCAGTACATTGAATAAATGTTATTTACTAATGCTAGCGACAGATGTCCTGAGAAGGTGTGATTCTTCAGGAAGATACCAGAAGTGAAATAAGAAACTGAATGCCAGGAATTAGGAATCAACTTGATAATTCTTTATCTAAAGTTTTTTTTTTTTTTGTCTAGACTCTAATTTCTTAATTGACCCTTAGGACTCAGCTAAACTAAACCAAGTCTGACTAGATTGAGACCGCTCTGTAGACATGATCAGATTGCCTGGTTAATAAGTCACTTAGCAATACAATAGTCAGGAACATGGAAGACAATACACTTGCTACTTCAAATACATCATCACATTTCGTAAGCTGAAACCGACAGAAAACATAGTGCAAATTTATCAAAACCATCCAAATTTTTCATGAGTTGTGTGTGTGTATACCTGTGTGTATGTATGTGTTTATGTCTGTGTATGTCTGTGAATATTGTGTATGTAGTATTCATGTATGTGTGTATGTGTGTATATAAGTATTGTGTAGTGTGTACATGTAGTATGTGTGTGTGTCTGTCTGTGTATGTGTGTGTATGTCTGTGTGTAGTGTGTGTGGTATGTGTGTGATATGTGTGTATGCGTGGTATGTGTGTAGCGTGTGTACACGTATGTGTGTGTGGTATGTGTATCTGTGTTGAGTGTGTAGTGTGTGCAGTATGTGTATGTGTGGAGTGTGTAGTGTGTGCAGTATATGTATGACTGTAGTGTGTACAGTATATGTATGTGTGGAGTGTGTGTGTGTGTGTGTGTGTGTCTTCGTTGTAGAAAGCTTTCTTCTGAGGTTTCAAGTACAGGAAATGGTTTTTAAGACTTTTACATAATCATTTTTCATGAGCTTGTGTTCCAGCTGGTAGCCAGCAGGGACAGAGCGTGTGAAGCAAAGGTCAGTTCCATGTAGCTCTCAGGGAGGACAGCAGGCTGCTTCCCCACCCTCTGAGTCAGTGTTCCTGGGGAAGAGAAAAGAGGAGGAAGGGACTGAGAAGGCTGGGCTGATGTCACCTCTCTGTCTACCTGTTAGCACCTCATTGAGACGGCATTAAGATGAGGCAGTGCAGCGCTGGGCTTCCAGGGCTCATTTATCTCCCCGTAAATTCAAATGCCTTTCCAAGAGCTCCTGGACTTGTGTTACAGTCTCCAGGTACAGGGCAAGGCTTAGCAGCGGCCACAGCTTGTTTCATCATTTTACCTTTCTTGACAGTGTGTGTTGTAAAAATATTAAAAGGGAGAAATTTATTATCTATATCGGCTTGGGTTTGTAAAGAAAAACAGAAGCAATTAAGTAACATGAACAATTATACTTTGTGTTCTTTAATGGACCTATTTTAGCCAGGCAGATATTATGCTTCTTATTTCCATATTATCTTATAATTTATTATAGTGTATAACTGAAGTTGAAAATGTGCTGCCCACCTCTCCCCTGCCATTTTTAATATCTTCCTTTTACTTCATTTAAGAATATTCATTCTCCAGGCAGTGGTGGCACAAATCTTTAATCCCAGCACTCAGGAGGCAGAGGCAGGTGGATCTCTGTGAGTTTGAGGCCAGCCTGGTCTACAAAAGCTAGTTCTCGGATAGGCACCAAAGCTACAGAGAAACCTTGTCTCAAAAAACCAAATTAAAAAAAGAATAAAAAAGAATATTCATTCATGTTGGATTTTGTGCAAAATTAAAACAGTGAAAATGTGCAAAATTTTTATACAAATATAAAATGAGGACAAAGAAATGTTTTTGGACTAAAAATTTAGGAGTTTGAAGCAAAGGGCACTGTATCAGGAAAGAAGGCTGTGCACACACCAAGAGTCTGAGCAGATCTACTGGCGGTGTCACGGAAATGCTGACCCATTCTTCCTGCACTTTCCCCTTCCTTACCCAGCACACTCTGGAAGAGCTGCCTCATTCCAAACATGACTACAGAACTGGGAAGTCAAACTTTTTTTAAGTAACGCAGTTACAGTCTGTGTTTCTGTAAATCTTACTGTCTAATAAAGAAAACATAAAATTGACAAAAATATGCCGTGACATCATTTTCATCCGTGCTCTGAAGGAGTCAGTCCCCGGAGCATAGAGAAAACACAGACACACGGGTAGGAGAGATCTGATGCACAGATCTCAGGTGGTATTTTGTTGGGCAGGTGACTTAAACACTGAGCCTTGAAGAATGAAGCAGAAGGAGGCAGCTGAGCGGCGAGGGAGGCAGACGAGGAAGGACTTGCGTAGATGTAGCAGCACTAGAAAGATCTCAAGCTGGCAGGTTCTGACCTTTGCAGAGGAATGTGAGAAAAGCCTTTGTTGTAGAAATGAGAGGCCTGTGTACAGAGAGCAAGAGCAGGGAAGGGACTTATCTCCGCTGTATTTATGGAATGTCACTCTCTTCAGTGAAGGGAAGTCTGTGAGCAAAGCAGCTACCTTGGAGGGGGATGAAGTATGGGAAGTCAAGAAGCCAGTTCCCAATTATCTCAGGAGTCCAGATTAGAAGGGATAGTGCTTTGGATTGCCTACCATTTGAGCCGAGGAGATAAGAAGTGAGTGATTCTAGATCTGTTTGAGAGGGAAAACAGACACGCCTTTGGAGTTGAGGAAATATCAAGAGGACAAGGTTTCTAGTGTGAGCAATAAAGGATCTTGAAGTCCCTTGTAAAAATGAAGAGTGCAGGGTGCAGTTTAAGACCAAGAACTGAAAATCAGAGGCATTAGCCTCGAGGAAAGCGGTGAGGCCATCAAGGGGAGATGTGGGCCTCCAGACGGCAGGTGTGAGTGTCGGCAGCTAGGAAGAGAGGTCCAGGCTGAGAAATGTTCCAGGACATAAGGGACAGGCAGCGGGTTTCGAAGCCAGGGAGCCTTAAGAATGGATATTATCTGGAACAGTAAAACAGTATTTCCTGACAGACATAATTTTTACCACATGGTTTGAAAATGCAGATGTCATCCTTCTGCATGATTTTAGGACACTCAAGGGAAAATGCTTGACCATCTTCAGGAACATCTCTCTAATATAATAATGTAGGTCAAAGGGAAAATAAAATTTGTTTAAGTCAACTTTATGATGGTGAATCAAAGGCTGGCACTTGTAAGTTACTGAACAGCATTTATTAATATTCCTTAACTTCTCGTCATAGGTGATCCACCCAGCACTCTGAATGTACTTCAGCTGACATTGATCGGAAGATAATTGATCAGTTAAACCATTTCTTATTAGAGACAGTTTTGTAAACAACATTATCGCTTGCCCAACCAAAATCCCATATTATGTTTCACTACTAACTTTCTATTAACATATTTTTCATCATTGGATATAATTAAAACATCGCATATACTAAATTCTGATGCTCAATTTTGTTATCTATGAAATTTGTAGTGAGGGCATTATATTTGATACTCATTTTTAAAAGAAACCAACAAGAGTTTCCCAATATCATAATGTTTACAATTGGCATTGTGTGGCTTTGGACTTGATTTGACCTGCACATCTTTGGACTTGACCTGACAAGGTCTTTGAGGGAATGAAGAAAGGACAAACACACAGACTTTCTTATGGAGAGACTGGGATTGGGTGGGCTGTGTGCTCTGATGGAGATGCACCAGCAGCCCAGAGACTCAGCGTATTTGTGATAGAGCACTGAACGAGGAGGTGGGTTCATTGTATACAGCTGAGCAGTAAGTGGGTTTGCTGTATACAGTGGAACAGGAAGTGGGTTTGCTGTATACAGCTGAATGAGGAGGTAGCTAGCCAGTCTAGGCAGAAGGTCTCTTAGCAGAGCAATCTCGGGTTGCAGTCATCCTGGAGGGGTGGTATTGATGGTTCTGCAGACAGAGTCACATCCAGGGTGAGAAAGCTGCCCTAACTCTGTCTCCACACACTGGTTTTAGCTGAAGGCCAACTCTTGACATGACTGTGCTCTTGTCAATGACATGTATTCACTTGGGAATTCAGCTGCTCCCCACTGGCATTGCTGGCTAAAATATGACGGGGGACATTGTAGAAAAGCCATGAAAAATTCCCCAAGTTTTAGGTTGCTGAAGAGGAGGCTGTGGTTGATAATGTCTGTGCAAACTAGTTTTAGCTATAGGCAAATCTTTTGTAATGTACATATTAAGACCAGAAGGTTCTGTTGTTCTTCTGAGCCTGGTTTGGGGGAAGCCTTTCATTCCCGTGAGTCTGAAGCACAGAGTCCTTGACAGAAATATATTAAGATTGCATTATATGAATGTTACTATTATGAGTGCATACACACACATATATACATATTTATATCACTTTACGTATTTACTGAACTAAGATTTGAGCACTGGTTCATCCATGGTGTGTGTTTTTGCACACATTTTCCGACACACGAGGCTAAAGAGCTGACTCAGCCTTGAGAAGGGCTTCAGGCTAATAGTTTTATCTTAGAATGCACAGCAAGGCCTGCCTCACTCACCCTTTGCTGTGGTTTCTCTGTCTCACAGGGATTGCCTACGACCCTCTGATGCTGAAACACCAGTGCATCTGTGGCAATTCCACCACCCACCCCGAGCACGCTGGGCGGATACAGAGCATCTGGTCACGGCTACAAGAAACCGGGCTGCTAAATAAATGTGAGGTAATCCTGAATTGGCCACACTCTTTTCCTTACTTAAATAAATCATGTGAAGAGGCTAGTATTCATTCAAGTGGTAGTGGAAAAATGTGAACCACGCAGGGCAAACACTGATTGACGATGTGTCCGAAACAGAAGTAGCCCAGTTGTCTGTGGGCTGGAAGGACAGTAGGTTCTCCATGTTTAGTGGACAGAGCGGCTGTCCCATCATTGCAGTGTGTTTCACCCCAACTTTACTCTGGGAAGTGGAGCTTAGCATAATTATTGCAGATGGACGCTGATAATTAAGTTAACCCGAGAAACTCTTTGGGAAGAATTTAATCCTAGCCATTGCTATCTGTGGTTCCGCACTGTGCTCGCAATGCAGGCCCCTGCCAGTTCTTCCCAACAGTGCTTACTGAAGCAAGTCTCTCCTTTTTACTGAAGTGACTCATTGATACCTTTATAATTTTGTGATAGGTCCAAATATTTTTAATTTTAACCAATATTCCTTTAGGCTCATATTTTTAGATTGCTGGTAAATCCCAGGCCCATTTAAAAAGCTTGCTTCTTTAGGCTTTAAGAGGTTAAAAAGAAAAATGAAAATAATTCAGGAAGAGTTACTTAAAATTTACAAAATCTGGAATAAATAACTAACAGCTGTTTGACTTATTTATTCTAAATTTCCGTTTTGACTAAAATCCAGTAGCATTTTATATTTGAGTTTGAAATATTTTTCAAAGGAATAAGTATTCTCCATATACGTTTTTGCTTTTTTTTTTTTTTTTTTTTAGCATTTCTTGATTAAGAAGTTTTGTTTTGTTTGCCATGTCTACATTGTGTTCTAGAGTACCAAACCCTGGCAGGGCAAGTCTCACAGGACAAATAGCATCTCTGTCTTCACAGATGAGCATCCCACTGTGTTGGGTCAGGGTAGTTGGGCTTCTCTGTGGATCAATGAAGGGAATTCAACATAGTGTTCATTTTCTGGGGTTAGAGTCTGGGGAGATCAATAGCCTTTGATTATAACTATGGCCTGAGAACACTGTTCTATTAAGAACATATTAAAATCACTATACTTCAGCAAAATAACAATTATTTTAAGATTTGTTAGTATTGTTATTGTTTATTTTATTTCTGTGGGTGTCTGTGCCTGCCTGAGTCCATACACACCTCGGGCTTGCAGAGGACAGCAAAGGCCAGAAAGCATTGGATCTTCTGGAACTGGAGTTATAGGATGCTTTGAGTCACCTGTTGGGAATCTAGCCTGTGTAACAACAAAACTTAGTCTTCACCACTGACTTATCTCTCCAGCCGGTATAAAGACAATTTTAGGAGTTTTAAGTTATATCTGGCTATTTGCATAACATATAAGTTCTAAGATATTTTTTTCAGTGTTGATTATGTTAGTCATTAATAATTTATATATTGTTATCATTCCTAAAGACATCTTCAAAAACTCACAATAGTATATTATTTTTAACCACCCAAAATGCAGTCAACAAAATTGCCACTCAAATCCAAGTTAGTTTAAATCTGTAGCTTGGCCTTTCCTACACCAGGGCCTGAGGCAGGAGATCACAAATTTAAGCATTGCTTAGATTATTGGGTGAATTCAAAGTCAGCCTGGGCAACTTAGATGAAAACCTGGCTCATAATTTTAAAAATGAAAAGAGGACTGGGGCATAGTTCAGAATTAGAGAACCTTTCATCTCCAGCATGGAAAAAGGCAGAGGAAAGATATGCATTAAAAAATAGCAACAATAATAAGGCAGATAGATAGACACGTGTAGAAATGTAGATGCATAGAGAGAAATTCTGAAGCAGAAAGAGTATGTTTGATACTATGACTTAAAATTGTCTGGTTCTTGCCTTCCCTTAGAAAATGCAAAGTTATTCATTGCTCGTTCATTTGAAGGCTTAGTTAGGTGAAGAATATGTGCTGTGATGTATAAGTATTAATCTTTCACATAATGGCATTAGTAACACCTGGCAGTTCATTAACAATTGCGGTTGTGACTGAGGACCCCAGAGCAGGGTGGACGGCGTTGGCATCACAAGCTTACTTGTCAGATTATGATGGATTTATCAAACATTTTTCATATTAGAAGTTTCTACAGCCGGGGGCGGAGGTGGCACATGCCGTTAATCCCAGCATTCAGGAGGAAGAGTCAGGCAGATCTCTGTGAGTTCAAGGCCAGCCTCGTCTATAGAGTGAATTCCAGGACAGTTGGGACTGCATGAGAAACTCTGTCTCTAAAATAAACAAACAAACAAAAATAGTTTCTACTATTGATTAAATGGATCCTTCTCCTACAGGAGGCGAGATGAAGGACAATCAGCTGGGTTTATTCCTCTGGTCCTGAGTAAAGGACCATTATCGATCTTTTGCTATTGGCATCCATATTATTTGGTAAAAGGCTTTCATATTCTTTGGTTAATTTTAGAGTTATCTTTAAGGATGTTATGGTTTTGGATAATGTGATTTGGGGGCAAACCGGTCTGGCAATTATCCTTTCTGGGGCACATGAAGTAGGAGAAAAAGGAGATGTAGGATGTCTGTAGTCTGATCTGAACGGACAAACACACTTGTCCATGTGAGCCTTGGTGACTCACCCTTGAACCTGCTGAAGATATTTTCCTGCTTGGTCCTCCGTCAGCCTAGGCACTGTCATTTACATGTTTTCTGCATTCAGGTCTCTGGTGTGCCCTGTAGCAGCTGGCTTCTCTCCAGGGAAAGCCAAGGGCCGACCTTAGACTTGAGTGCCTTGACTGGTCGTGGTGTTCCTAGTATTTATTGCCCGAAGACTGCACATAAGAAGACTCGGAATGCAGGAATGAGTGGAATGTAGCACGGTTCCCACTGACCTTAAAATTTTCAAGTATTATAATCATTCTTTTCTGGCTAGTCTTCCTTTCAGTCCCTCAAATATACAATTGTATTGTTTCAAACCACACAAATTAGAGTTATACAACCCTGCCTGATTTGATACAAACCACAGAAGGAAATGCCACAAGCAAAAAGCTGAAAAGAAGAGGTAAAATTTTTTCTAGCCTTGTTGAATAAGCATCATTGTAGCAGGTAACCCTCAAGTTAACAGTAGCGCAGGTGTGTTCCTCCCAGTGCTGTCCCCATAGCTCGCCTATGCAGAGAAAGCTCTTCTGCCCTCCTTGTGAAAGCCATTTAATCTTAGTCTGTCCTACAGCTCTCAGGGCAGATAGGAAGTCCTTAAAGAGCTAGACTATAAGAAAGCTATCCTTTGAGGGAGATCCTGCTCGCAACAGGAGCTCCAGGGCAGCTGCAGATACCCCACCCAGCCTGGCTAGCTGCAAGAAAGGAGTCTGTCTTAGTCGGCACACACCTCAAGGCGGCTAGGGAGGAGTCTGTCTTGGTCAGCACACACCTCAAGGCGGCTAGAAAGGAGTCTGTCTTGGTCAGCACACACCTCAAGGCGGCTAGGGAGGAGTCTGTCTTGGTCAGCACACACCTCAAGGTTAGCTGCTTCCTAGTTGCGCTCTGCTTCTCCATGGAGTCCTTGGGGACAGCTCAAACCAAAGCAACCCCTGAAATTTACCCTTCTAGAAGGAGTTCGCCACTGGGCACAAGCCGATGGTCAGCCCCTCCCAGACTGCCTGGCTCTTAGGAACTGTAATCAGTCTCCTAATGCTTAACATATTATTTTTGGCATCCTAACATTTCCTCCCCCATCTAGGATTTGGTTAAAACAGGGAAGGATCAAAATTTGGCAGCTGGGGGAACAGCTTAGCCCCCACGGATGGAGAAAGAACAAACAACAATGACGACAAAGGAAATGACAAGGAAGAGTTCGTTAACAAGGCAGAAAAAGACGAGCGTCTGCAATCTTTTTCGTAGGATGTGAAGGGGATTGGTGGAGCAGGCTGAAACCACAGGTGATTTATACCCTTCTGGGACAAAAATACTACCAAGGAGACCCAGATGTAGGCAGAAGGTGTTGGTGGCTCCCTCACCTGGTGTATGCAAAGAGCAGGCAGCACAGCCACGCTGCCGCCTCATCACACAGGCTCTAAGGATGGCGGACAGCCAGTGTCTCCATCCCAGAGACGAGGACTGGAGGGGCAGACTGTCACCTTCTTCTTCTTCCCTCCTTCAGTCTGTGTTCTGTTAAACTCCAAGGTCACGTCACGTGTTCCTGTGTAACTCATCAGGCACCTCAATTGCCCAAGAACTCAAGGGACTGTGTCTGCTAGGTTCTTAAAGACCAGGAAAGTGTTCTGTGCCGTGCGGTGTGAGCTCTGGCTAAACACTGGCTAGCTGCAGGCTGCCCCCCAAGTCCGTACTTCCCAATGCATCACCCACGGTTCTACCACAAACTCCCTAGTACTTTAGGGTCATGCTAACTCCCTGAGTCCTTATCCTCCCTAATCCACTCAAGATCAGATGAATAACCCCTGTTCCCTTTCAACACACAGCCCAGACTCATTCAACCCATGCTCCCTATCTGACCCACTCAGTTGTATTCAAAACCGAAGCCATGCAATGCCAGCCACAGACACCCTGGCCCTGCACAGCACTTCCTGCCTCTGTGGAGGACAGGAGTGAGAAATGGATGCTGCAGACTCAGCACCCACAGACTCGGTCCTAGGAAGACTTTCAAGACAACCCTAAGTTGGAGTATCAGTACCAAGAAGAACTAAACTGATCAACTTTCATGTTGAAGGGGCCCTGTGAAGAAGAAAGTTCTGTTTCTGAATGGGCTACAAGATGGGTTTGTGTGTGTGTGTGTCCTAACTGTCTGCCTGAGTTCTTGATTGCATGCAGATCAGGCTTACCTAGTCTGCTGCCTGTGTTTGCTGAGTGCCGGCCTCGTGTGGAGCCCTTCAGCATGCTCAGCCATGTCTTTACTAAGTATGCTCGCAGCAATACATGCTCTTCTTGGAGTTCTTCAAACTCTTTTTAAATACACTAATTCTTTATGTGAATGTATCAATAGATTATTAAAGCTTTTTGCAAGGATTTTAAGCTTTCTATCTCATAATAAACT